ATATATGACACTGTTTTTTCCTCTGCATATAAGGCACAAATGCCACTCTTCTTAATCAGACATGATAAGGGCGTGTCCAGCACGCACGCTTGATTGCGGTTGGGTGAGGTGCCTCACGGATCAGAAGGATCGATTACAAATCTAAAATGGTTGGGTAAGGTTTTGACAAAAACGGTATGCGTTGGATACGCCCTTAGAAATCAGTGTCTTTTATCTGGGCGTATACGGTATTTGGGGTTTAAGTTTGCCACACAAACTTCATCAGAGATTTGTGGACCCTTCCGAATTGTTTGGATGGTGATGTTAGAGTTCTTAGATATATATTAGGACTATATTTACAACAATAACCTAGCTAGGTGCAGTTTATACAGGGTACAACACTTGGACAAAATTCTGTTCCTGCCCTTGCACTAGTCAACTTTTCTCCTCGTGATATGGTACCATTCTAGGTTAGCTCCTGCCGTCGCGCTTCCGCCCTTGGTACTCCCCACTCCTCTCCCACCCTAGCTTACCTCCTTAGACTAGGTTAGGACCTAGTCTGCTTCCCTAGCTTGCACCCTAGCCCTAGGCTGTCGCCCTGCTTTCGCACTGCCCGCTGCTCACCGCCAGCTGAGCGCTGCCCGCCATTTGGGCTGCTTGTTGCAGCCGCTGCCTGCCGCCAACTGCGTGCCCCTGCCAACTCGCGCTGCTGCCATGCAGCTGCCCGCTACTCGCCACCATGTAAGCTCGCTGCCAACAGCTCGCCGGCCGCTGCCAGCCCGCCGCCAGCTCACCGCCAGCAGCTCGCTGGCAAATCGCCGCTCGCAGCTCACCGTCGGCAGCTTGCCGCCAGCCACTTGCCGCTGCCAGCCTGCTGCCTGGTTGCTGCTCACTGTGCTGGCGCTGGCCTGCCTGCTGCTCACTGATGCTGCCACTGGCCTGCGGCTGCCGCAAGCCTGCCACTGTATCTGCCAGCCTGCCACTGCCTCCAGCCTGCCGCCTGCCGCCAGGTCTACCACTGCCAGCCTGCTGCCTGCCGCCAGCCTGCCAGCTTGCCGCCTGCCGCCAGCTTGTCGCTGCCGCCTGCCTGCCGATGTCGCAGGCCTGCCGCTTGCTGTTGCCACCAGTTCTTGCTGCCTGCCTGCCGCTGGCCGCTTGCTTCCTTGTGCCTTCCAGCCGCCAGCTGCCAGCCAGCTACCTGCCTGCCGCCTACCAGCTGCCCACCAGCTGCCAGCCCACCGCTGGCCAGCCGCCCGCCAGCTGCCAGCCAGCTGCTCACCAGCGGCCCACCCGTAGTCAGCCAACCGCCAGCTCCTAACCAGCTGTCGGACCGCTGCTACAGCCACAACCACCACTTCCGCTGCCGCCGTTTGTGCTCTTGCACCCACTAGCGCCTCCCACTAGTCTCCTCCTCATTTTTGGAGTTCCTCACCGCCTCCCCTGCTGGCATGACGACCTCGTCAGGGTCTGTTCTTTGGCTGGATGTCGAAGGCCGGGCAGTCGGTTTCGCTCCCTGGCTTCTCGCTCTCCGCCGGCAGCTGGTAAGCCAATGCGTGAACTGTGGGCTACTAGAGGCCCACATCACTTGTAAGCTGTTGTCCCCTCCCCCGTCCTGAGTCTCTTGCCGCCGACACGACGTTGGTGCAGCATGAGGCATACGCAGCTGCCTGGACTTCCCACGCCATCTGGCGGGCTCGCGACGCTGGTGTGCTGCTGGCCATCACCCGCTGCCTGCCGGTTGACGAGCAGGCACACTTCGAGTCGTAGGAGATGGCGAAGGACCTCTGGGATGCTGTCATTGCCCGCTACTCGTCCTCGTCCTCCGCCGCCCTCGGCCACCTCCTCCTTCCGTTCCTCTTCCCCAGCCTGGCCGCCTTTTCCACGATCGCTGACCTCGTCGCACACCTCCGCGACCTCGAGGTACGCTACCGTGCTGCCTGTTCCGAGGACCACCTCACTGCTCAAACCCCGCCCACCTTCGTCACCCTTTACTTTCTCACTGCCCGCCTCCCTGGCCGTCTCGCTCCTGCACGTGACGCTCTCCTTGCACTGCCCCCCACAGCCCTCACCATCGACCACTTCTTCACCTCCTTCACGGAGGTCGAGAACCGCCTCCGCGCCATCACCGAGTCCTCTGGCGCGGTGGCAGCCCCTGCCTTCCAAGGCAGCTCTCCGTCCCAAGCCCTTGTCTCTGGTGCCTCTGCCTCTGTCGCTGAGATACACTGACGGAAAGAATTGTCCACATGTTTGGCAATTTTTTGAATTTCCACCGGTAAAGGGCATTTGAACATTAAGCCTTAATTGGAGGCATTACCCACTATATGCAGGCCAATCTAGGGAGACATTAAAATGCTACACATTTGATGAAACTACTATCGTTAACAGTAAACAGCAAACATAACCAAACACGGTGCATGTGGACAATTATTTCCAGGCGGAAGCAGCAACTTGAAAAACCCTAAAACTAGTACCTGGTCCACCGCCCTTTAGCCCTAATCACTGCTTTCACCCTCCTGGGCATGCTGTCGATCAAATTGGAGCACACCTCTGATGAGATCTTCTCCCACTCCTCTTGTACACGCTCCCACAGGTCCACCATACCAGTGGGAGGTGTCTCATGCTTTCCCAGCTCCCTTTTAAGATGAGCCCACAGATGCTCAATGGGGTTCAGATCAGGACTTCCTGCCGGCCACTCCAGGACCCCATACTCCTGCTCCTGAAGCCACTGCTGCACCACACGGGACTTATGCTTGGGGTCGTTATCATGCTGGAAGATCACAGCCGAGGGGGTTAGCTTGTAAAAGTCGATGGTTTTTTTCAGCTCGTCTTGCAAAATGCTCAGATACAGCGGCCCGTCCATCCGACCATCGATTTTGCACATGAAACCCGCCCCCTCAAACGTCATACATCCCCAGATCATCAAGCCGCCGCCCCCGTGTTTGACGGTTTGCTTGATATGGTGGTGTTGGAGAGTCGTACCTTCACGAACCCAGGCGTACGCGCGGCCGTCAGAGCCGAACCTACTAATCCTCGTCTCATCCGACCATATGACCCGTCGCCAATCATCTATGGTCCAATCCGCGTGGGCCCGTGCGAACGCCAGCCTATCGCGGATATTTTTCTTGGTGAGTCGCGGCTTCTTAGGCTGCTGAACTGCGATAAGGCCGCTGGATTTGAGCGCATTACGCACCGTCCTAGGATGCACCGTGATGCCGTGCTGGGATTCGACGATTTGGGCCGCATGCCTCGAGGTTTTCGCCTCGCCGCTAGTGATCGCCCTGACGATCCCACGACGAATTCTACTCGACAGTACGCGTGGACGACCAGCAGTGGGCATTGTAGGACGTACGTCCTCGGGACTAGTCTCTGAAATCGCCTTGAGCCCAACATCATGCACTGTACTTTTCCCAACGCCAACCTGTTTCGCGATTTGCCTCGTGCTGAACCCCCTACGCAACAGGGCCACGATCCGGGCGCGACGAGCCTCATCTATCGGTCTCATCTTGGCGTAGTCTACGCCTCGGGTATAAACTTTATTCTGACTACTCGACGATTGCGTTAGGAACTATGGAGAGAATGCTCTAGTCGAAAACGGATCTAGTCCGCTGCTTGGCCAAAACTGTCCGGATGCACTCACGCGACTGAAATCTTGGCCACGCTATTAGTGCGACCCATTCAGGTTGCAAACGTGTTACCCTATTGTAACTGGCACGCGTAACTTATTAGTCAGCAATGAACATTCAACGATACATCGGGTGAAAGCATTCAAATCATGTGTTGAACCTAAAATTGGACTTTATCCGGGCAATACTTTCCGTCGCTGTATATAAGTCGCGCCATCAAAGTGAGTTGAGGTCTTCAGCTTGGAGATTGTTGGAAAACCCGCTTGATTTACAACAGCTTGTGCACCAGCAAACGGCCTGTCTTCTGCGGTATGATGTCGTTGCTGTTGCTGTGGTTGTTGTTGTTGTTGTTGTTGTTGTTGTGCAGGTCGCCCGTAGAAGGCAAAAGACCCTTCAGACTCTTCTCCAGGGCTGAAGGCTTAGCGACTACAGCAGCTCTTGCATAACTAGAGTTATCAAGGCTCATAGAGGCTGTAGGATGTACTGGAGCTTGTTGTTATTGCTGATTAGACTGATTAGTCATTACGGAAGCAATAATATATAACACAGGCATGTACCTATTCGGTATGTACCGGTTCGTAGTGTATCACGAATATTTGCTTGACATGATTAGTGACTGTTCGTGTGTTTGAGAGTGGCGTGACCCTTCGGGTGACTATACGCGCGAACCTATTATTCATGCGTTGACTCGCTACTGCTGACATCATTACGCGCGTCCCTCTATATGAAGTATCGCGCTGCACTAGTACAGTCTAAGTGTTATATCAGGAATGCATAAACGGTAACTCTGTCGAGTATACTTTTACCGGCGAAGGACCAGGTTCAGCTGCTGATGTGGATGGCTGCGGAACTGTAGAAGGTCCTGCTGCTGCGCTGTCGGGCGGATAATATTCTTCGCTTGCATCTGCTTCGTCTTGAGGGGTGGCGAAACTCCGTTCGGCATTGTAGCGATCATGATCTCACTGATGGCATTCCTTGTCGCGTTTGAAGTCATTGAGAAATAATTTCTCATAGAAGATGCAATCCATGGCATACAAAACTTTGTGAGTTTCGTAATGCATGATTATGCATGAGTGGGAATCTTTAGGTACACCGAGTTTTAAACCCCATCGGACACTTCCGAGTCCCAAGGCGCCCGAACCACTGAGCGAGGTTCCTCGCTAGGCTATCTGTGCATGTATTGGCCCTGTGTTTCGCTTGTATTCGACACACTTCAATCACGACATCTATTGCATTACTCTGACTCCCATCGGGAGATTATCATAACAGATTTCGTCTGACTTGGTTTTTATACACTACATCCCTTTCTCGATGTTGCCTCTGAAGAGGATTTCGTGGGTTGAAGGTCAGCTGCTCCCGTTCAACCTTCCACCGAAACTGTGCATGTTGTTCCGAACGGGGTGTTGCAGTCAGAATCCCCCCTTGGTACATTCTGGTGGAAGTTCGGACAAGGCAAAGGCGGTTCAGGCGCTAGGCAGCGCGTGAAAGCACGGGAGTTTCTGATCGTGTGGTACCCTACTCAACTGTGGTCTACGAGCAGTGCAGTGGAACAACGATTTGTACACTGGTAGGATTCACAGCAACGGCAGCACTGCACACGTCTCGCTGGTCGGCAAACGGGTAGTTGTGCCACGCGTCGTCATGTTAACGTTAGGTTTTAGGATACTCGCGCATAGCGCGGGGGATAGTCGATTTGGGCTGAAAGTGGCACTGCGTAACGTGCGGTATACAGTCTTCTACTCAACGCTCCCCCCATGTCCCGGTCGCCTCTCGCCCTCCTGCCCCTCTCCCCTCCCCGACTTCCCTTCTGCGCCCCTGGCGTCTCGCAGTCCCTCCCTCGCGCACCACTCGCCCGTCGCCCTGGTCCCCTCCGCCCTGCCCTGCCACCTCGTCGCCACCCACACCCGCCCCTTCCATCCTCACTCCGCCCGCCCTTCCACAAGCACTCGCCATCCATCATCCTTCCCCACGTCTCCTCTCCTCTTCCCGCACCCCTTTCCTCCGTTCCCTGTCCCCTCAATTCCACCCTCGTCGTTCCCTCCTAGGTTTGCTGCCTCGGTTCTCTGCCTTCTCTCGCTCGTTCCCGCTTCCACCTCTCCTCTCTTTTGCTAAAACTCTCTCCCGTTTCCCCTCGTTTCTCCACTGCCCTCTTCTGCCCTCTTCTGCCCTCTTTTCCCTCTTTCCCTCTATTGCTCTCGTCTCTCTCTCTCTCTCTCTCTCTCTCTCTCTCTCTCTCTCTCTCTCTCTCTCTCTCTCTCTCTCTCTCTCTCTCTCACACACACACACACACACACACACACACACACACACACATATCCACCCCCCCACCCACACACACACCCACCCACCCACACACCCACACGCCCACACACCCACACACCCACCCACACCCACCCGCCCGACCACCCGCCCCCGCTCAGCACTGCGAGCATCGCGGCTCATGAGCAATCGCGGAGGGGCAGCACTGTGCAGGGACTTCCAGAGGGGCAGGTACAGGGGCACACAGGGGCACGCAGGGGGGGGCAAGTTCAGGGGCAGTTGGATAATGGGGCGGGCAGCAACCAGCACAGGCTGGCAGACACGCCACTACTATCACGTGTTGCCTGGCGTGCTGCTCTTGTGTCTGCCTGTCATGCACCGCTTCCCCTAGCTCTTATTCGCCTCTGCTCTCTGCTGTGCCATGCACGCCTGTCTCCCTCCCCATCACCCGCAGCTGCCGCTGGGGAGCGCGCTGCAAGTTCGTGCACCAGGCGCCCGCACCCACCCAGCACGCACAGCGTGTACGGATGCCCGCATGGCATGGCGTGGGGTGGCGGGGCATGTTGGGGGATGGGGTGATACGAATGCTGCTGACAGCATGGCACAGTGCACGCACATGACAGGGGCTGCAAAGAGTAGCAGGTGTATCGGAGCTTAGTCCGTACCCTGTGCATGTCGCCGCCAACATGTGCCTCCTCCGCATCCCCGCTCTCACCCTGCTGTCCTGCCTCTCACTCACCCCATCGTCTCCCTCCTGCGCCCTCATCCTCCCACCCACTCACCTGCTCCTCCCCGTCCACCTTCCCTCTCCCCCTCTCTCCGGTTCCTCCTTCCCCCTATCAGGGCAACCGCTACGCCGAGCTCAGTGGGGAGTGGGGGGGGGGGGAGGATGGGGAGGTGGTGGCAGGGGGCAGGGGGGAGGGGGAGGTGGAGGGGGGCGAGGAGGGCGCGGAGGGGGGAGTGGTGCAGGGCAGGGAGGGGGTGGGGGGCAGCAGATTGTGCAGCGAGAGCACAGGTGATAAGGGGGGAGAGGGGGGGGGAGGGCTCGTGGTGAGGCAAGCACACGATTAGAGTGAGTGAGTGATGCGCTCCATGCCGTGACCGCCATGCCGCCATGATGTCCCTGTGTCCTTGTGTCCTCGTGGCAGGCCTTTCGATTCATTTTAGGGAACACTGAATCGTCAGCCCCCTCCCCATCTTAGGCTGATGCTGCAGCCTCCCCCCTGTGAAAAGGCTGGAAACTCAGAATTCACTGAAATTTCTTCCTGATCAGTCATCCTAACTTAGAAGAAGAACGCTGATGCACAATTTGAATGGTGCATCAATGTTCAGCTGTTGGCTTTCAGTAACGAGACTACCGCTTGGCTGGCGCACTTGACAATCCAATGATTGGCTGGCGCAATAACAATTTGGTCAAGTTCCAACCACCCTACGCAGATAAGGTGTTTGTGTGTCAGCGTGGTGCCAGGGTCTGGGTGGTGAGGACTTCGCCGAGTTACCTGGGTTGCGGAGGGGTGTGGAAGTACTGTTTCTGACTGTAGAGGACTTAGCTGAAGAATCTGGTTTGTGGGCACCCCCAATATTACGCTGAGGCATTAGCGCACACCCACAAAAATCGCTGAGATTTCAGCCAATACATGGAAGAGGAGTCTGATTTCAGCCTTCACTCTTAAAAAAAGGCTGAAGAATCAGCTTTGGTACAAAAGGAAGCCTGAAAGAGGGCTGAATCGGCGTAAAAAGGCTGATATCTAGGGCCCTGCCCTCTGCTCCCGTGTCCCCGTGTCCTCCCCTCCCCCGCCCCCCTGGCAGCTGCGTGGACCGCTTGGACTGTGAGTCGATCATAGCAGAGGATGCGGAGAAGGAGCGCCCGCTGTGGAGGGCGTCCGTGTACGCGCACTGGAAGTAGTGAGTGCACTGGAAGTAGTGAGTGCACTGGAAGTAGTGAGCGCACTGGAAGTAGTGAGCGCACTGGAAGTAGTGAGCGCACTGGAAGTAGTGAGCGCACTGGAAGTAGTGAGCGCACTGGAAGTAGTGAGCGCACTGGAAGTAGTGAGCGCACTGGAAGTAGTGAGTGCACTGGAAGTAGTGAGCGCACTGGAAGTAGTGAGCACACTGGAAGTAGTGAGCGCACTGGAAGTAGTGAACGCACTGGAAATAGTGAGCGCACTGGAAGTAGTGAGTGCACTGGAAGTAGTGAGTGCACTGGAAGTAGTGAGTGCACTGGAAGTAGTGAGTGCACTGGAAGCAGGGAGGCTTGCGCCACCACAGCCACGCACATGCCAGTGTGCCCACGGGCCATGCGATGCCACGCCCATGGCTGCACTCGTGATGCCGCCCAGCTTTGCACCACAACCATGCCTGCCCCACTGCGTGCGCACGTTGCTGCATGCTCCCTTTCACTGCGCTCACCCCGCCCCTCACCCCCCCTCCCCCGTGTGTGCATGTGTGGTGTGTGTGGCAGTCTGCCATGCGATGTGGGGTCAGATGTGAGTCCTGAGGAGGCGCGCCTGCTCGCCTACACACAGGCACAGCAGGGAGTCCCCCTCCCATCCATTGTCAGTCGTGCTCCATATTCTCTACCCTACAATACCATACCGTACTGAACTGTACTGTACCATACTGTACCATACCATACTATACCATACCATACCGTACCATACCATACCATACCATACCATAACATACCATACCATGCCATGCCATACCATACCATGCCATACCATACCATACCATACCGCACCATGCCTGTTATGCAGTTCCGTGTGTCCAATGCCTTCTACCCAACATCTTTCCCCAGTCCCTGTCATGTTCACATGCCATGCTGAGCAACCTTTTTCTGATTGAAGTTTTCCGCCTAGAATCATGTGTGCACCCCTCCCCACCCCCCGTCCAGGTGGCATCAGAGCGCGCCATGCTTGCCAATGCTGATGCCGCCCACGCTGCCTTCCGCTCGCACCGCTACACCGGCCCTGTCAGACAGCCTCCCAGCGCTCCGCCCGCCATGGCCTTCCCCCCCGCCACCTTTGCCCCGCCCTCCCCCCCTGCGTTCATGGCGCCTCCATCAGCCCCCAGTGCCCCCCTTGGTGCTGGCGGCATGCTGTTCGGGAAAGTCATTTCGCAAGCACGGCCTGCCACTGCCATGGCACCATCGCCCTTCTCCTCCTCACCCATCTCCTCTTTCCCCACGCCCCAACAACCGTCACCCTTCCCCTTTGGCCCCTCTCAAGCCTTAGCATCGCCCTCCCCCGCTGCTTCGCCCTTTACCCCCTTCTCTAGCGCCCCATCTCCCTTCTCACCAGCAACTCCACAGCCCCACCTGCTATTTGGACAACCCACCGCCTCGCCCTTCCATCCCGCCCCTTCATCCTCCCCCTTCGCCACTGTCCCGTCACCTGCCCCCTTCGCCCCACTCGCCGCTGCCAGCCCATCGCCCCTGCCCTCCTTCCCCCAGCCCGCTGCCGCCGTGCACGTGCCTGGTAGCAGCGCAGCCAGTGTTGGGGGCGTGGGCGGTGGAGAGGGGTCCGTGTGGAGCAGTGGGCGGTGGAGGCTTGGAGAGGTATGGGCAAGGATTCATAGGCACACCCTCCACCCCGTGCTCTTCTCAATGCCTGCTTCCTTCTATGCACCTGCATTTCCGTTGCTCGTTGTGTATCGCCATGGTGCCCCCTCTCCGCCTTTCCCCCCCCTGCTGCCCCTCGCACTGTTCAGATACCGGAAGAGGAGCCGCCTCCGGCTGTCTGCGTGTGAAACGAGCAATTCTAGAGCCACCTACGCCGCAGTGCTCAAAGCTGCCAGCCAGCGGCAATCAGATGGGGTAGTGCAGGCCCTCCGAACCGAATGCTGGCCCTCTATGAAGCACCACTTTGCCAGGAGCAATCAGATGGGGTAGTGCATTTGACAGTATTGTATCATGGAATGTTGGGGTTAGCGCATGTTGGGCTGAGAAATGCCCTTAGGATCTTTTCAGAGACTGTCCCAGTTGAAGATTGAGACTTGAGTAGTGCAGCGGAAGTTGAGGCAGTTGAACCCTTGTACTAGTATATGAGAACAAGTGATAATTAAAGAAACAAGCATACAGCAATATATAGGAAATAAGAAAGCAGTTGTAGAATACAGTTGCAGGAGCGGTTTCGAGTCGCACAGGCGACTCAATTGCCGCTTCGGTTACCATCCGCGATGTTGTAACTGTCAGTCGCAACCTCCAGTTGCGACCTTTCGAGTTCCTTCGCGTTCTTTGTCTGCCCCCTCGTGTAACCTCCGTTGACTCGCGTACCCCCCCTGTAATCTTCCTCGAGTGTAGTGTTACACTTCAGAAACGCTTAAGTCCTTTGAGATATTTCCAACACTCCCCTTCGTTTCTGGAGTGCTGGCGTGTTCAGATCCGGTGATGTTTGTTTGTCCGGTCAGGAGCATGCAGTAATCGAATTTTGCCTTCGCCAATTTCTTTGTCAGATAGTCTGCGGCCATTTCTGTCGTCGGGCAGTAACTGAGTTGAAGTCTCCCCTTCGCGATTTCATCCTTGACGAAGAAGTACCGCAGGGCGATGTGCTTGGTTCGGTTGGCGAAGCCATCCTTGTTCGCGATTTTGATCGCAGATTGGTTGTCGCAGAAGAGTGAGAAGGCGGGCAGGGTCGCAATCTTCGCTTCCTCGAGTAACTCTCGTAGGTAGAGTCCTTCCTTGGTCGCAGTGCAAAGGGCGATATACTCTGCTTCAGCCGAAGATAGTGCGATTAGTTCCTGCTTGCTCGACTGCCAGGAGATAGTCCCGATAGGTTCTAGTCGGTAGATGTAGCCCGTCCTGGATCGTCGATTTTCCTTATCTCCCGCGTGGTCGGCGTCGACGTATCCGAGTAGTTGTATGGACGATGTTGTTGCTTTACTGTAGGTAAGCCCGGTCGTCGGCGTGGAGACGAAGTAGAGTAGTGCCCGATTGAGTTCCTCGAGATCTTCTTGTTCCGGCTGCTTCAGGTGCGTCGCCAGTTGGCTCGCGCTATAAGATAGATCGGGTCGGCAGGTTACTGCTGCGAATAGTAGGCAGCCGAGTTTCTGCTGATACTCCTGAATTTGCTTCGCGTGGAGTTTTGCGGAGGTGCTGCTGTTGTTCCCGTAGCGGTAGGGAGTCGGGACCGTAGTCGGCGTTAGACCGAATTTCTTCGCGACAGTGCCTGCGTATTTTCCGGCGTGTAGGTAGAACGCCGAGTTGTCTTCGACGACATTCAGTCCTAGGTACTGGGTCACTGTGTCGGACACCGTGAGTGTCAAGTCTCTTTTCAGCTCCCCTTCGAACCAGGTGGCGATGTCGGCAGTGGAACCGATGTAGAGCAGGTCGTCGACGTAAACGATGAGTAGGATATACTCTCTTCCCTTCTGCAGTCGGTACATCCCTTGGTCATGTGGTAGCTGTAGGAATCCGATTTTTGCGAGGCGACCGTGAAGATGCTGCTGCCAGAGCCGCGGGGCTTGCTTGATCCCGTATAGGGATTTTATCAGTTGGCATACTTTCGTGGGGTTGTCGATGAATCCGTGGGGTTGCTCGACGAAGATCTCAGCGTCCACAGGTGCGTACAGGAAAGCATTGGCGACGTCGATTTGGCGCAGTGGTAGTTCCTTCGTGGCCGCGACGGCGAGTAGAATGCGCAGGGAGGTGTGACGGGAGACTGGGGCGAAGGTTTCTGTGTAGTCGGTTCCGTATCGTTGATCGAAGCCTCGTATGACCCATCGAGCTTTGAATCGTTCGGTGGAACCGTCCGCATTGGTCTTGATGCGGTACACCCATTTTCCCGAGAGGACGTTCTTCCCGTTGATGCTTGTTGCAGGTACCAGCTTCCATGTATTTCGGTCTTGCAGAGCCTTTAACTCCTTTTCCATCGCCTCCTTCCATTTCGCCTTGTGTTCCCCCCCCAGGGCCTGCGACAGAGTCGATGGCTCGCGCGGAGATGGCGGCGGTGGATGCTGGACGGAGACCCAGAGGCCGAGAATCTGCAGTCCCGTGGGTGTGTGTCGAGGGGAATTTTCATTCCCGGAATAAGCTGCTTCGTCACCGTCTTCTGGGTCAGGTAAGAAGTTTGGGCCGATGCGTTCTGAAACATTTGTGTCGACTGGGTGGGGTGTAATGTAACCTTGGTCAGCAAAGTGGTAAAAGGTGTCGAGGTTGCTACTATCGAGAGGGTTGTCTTCGTCGAGTGGAACAGGTACGGAACAGAAAGGGAGTGGTCCGGCAGCTTCCGAGGCTTCAGGTACGTCTTCTTCTGCTGCGTCAGCTTCGGCAGCACGGTCGGCGAAGGAACGAAGTCCCGAGAAGCCGTCGGTGGGGTCTTGTGTGTTGGCAATGTTGTCCAGGTAATGCTGCAGCGTCAGTCGCTCGTAGAAGATAACATCACGTGATGCCACTGTATTTTTGTTTTGTATGTCGAGGATTTTCCATGCGTGAAAATGTTTTGCGATGCCGAGGTGTACTCCCCATCGAGCTCGTTGAGTGAAGCGTCCTGCTCGGGCGGTGTGGGGTCTGTACTGTACCATGCAGCCGAAAACTCGAAGTAATTTTGTGCTGCCCCGTTTTCGTGTCCACATGAGGTGCGGTGATGCGTTGTTGGGAAGTGATGACGAGGACAACAGGTTGTGCAGGTGAACTGCATGGGTCATCGCGTCTGGCCACAGTGTGGTGGGCAGCCTCATCCCCAGGAGCAGCTTTCGCATCGTCGTCTGCAAGGTCCGGTTCATGCGTTCTGCGACCCCCTGCTGTTGGTGAGCGTATGGCAGAGACACCAGGCGTCTGATTCCTCTTTCCGCCAGATAGGTCCTGAAGCGTTGTGACTGGTATTCCAGTGACCGTCTGACTGGAAGCTCTTGAGCTTGGTTCCTGATTCTCGTTCGGCGATGGGGAGCCATGTTGTGAAGGCGTCGAACGCTTGATCGCGCGTCTTGAGGTTGTAGTGCCAGACGTATCGTGTTGCTGCGTCGATGAACGTGATGACATAGTTGAAGTCTGCTTCTGTGTCTTCTCGAGGCATGTTTAAAATATCGCTGTAGACTTTTTCCATCGGTGCGTATGCAGGTGCGCTTGGGTTGTGATGAGATGGAAAGGAGTGGTGGGGAAGATCGGCTTCGGGGCACGTGAAGCACCGTGCGCGTGGTCGTCGAAGTTCTTGGCCGCTTGTTGTTAGGAGGGCGTTGCGTTCTAACACTTCGGCTTGGATGGTTTGTAGTATTGTACTATTTGCAGGGTGCCCGAGGCGTTGGTGCCAGATGTCGTCGGGAGCGCGATGGCCGGGCGAACGGTGGTATATGTCGGCGTTGGAGAAGAACGCGACGACTGTGGCGGGACTTCGACAGACTTCTCGTGTGATGGGCATAAGCTGGTCTGCTTCGGTTGGCGATCCTCGGATCGCTGGTGGTGGTACTCGGCTGGGTCCTGCTGCTGCTACTGCAGGTGATGGTTGGGAAGGGACGCTTGCTGGTACTTGTCTTTCTTGTCTGATAACTGCTAATGCTCGTGTTCTTTTTGCTGCGGGTATGGTGTTGGAGTGCCAGAATCCGTCAGGGTCGAAGTCGGGGTCAAGATCCGGCGGGTGTGTCCAGGCGGCGAACGACACGATACCGTCGCTGTCGGCAGTACCGCGGTCGGGGACGAAGTCCAACACGAAAACGCCGGACTTCAGGAGAGCACGACCGATGAAGAGGCCGCCCTTCCCGTGGTAAAGTCGAAACTCGTTGGAGTAGGAGTCGCACTCCAGGTGAATCCCTTTGGCCATTAGTTGGCTTACGCTTAGTAGGTTGTATCCCAAGTTGTCGACAATGAGGACTTTGTTGAGCTGAAGTATGACGTTTGTCTCCATGGATTGTAACTGAACCACGCCTTGTCTGTTTGTTTTCAGGTTTTCGTTGTTGGCGACGGTGATGATGACGTCGCGGTTGAGGCGTTTCTCTCGTTGCACGAAGCGTCCCGAAGAGCACATGTGTTGACCGCAGCAGCTGTCAGAGAACCAGGTGTTGCGCCCGGTGGGTTCGGCGTTGGCGACCGCAGCATATGTCGGATTGACTTGAAGTCCTTGTGAGCGCGGTGGCGGGAGCTCTTCTTCGTCTGGTGCGTAAGTGGGTGGTGATCCGGGTGTGCAGTTGTCGATGTGTACCATGCAGTTAATAATGTTTGGTGTCTGTTGTGCAGATGTTGAAGAGCGCCTTGGAGGACTTTCTTGAGTGGAAGCGACTTGTGGGTCTACTGGGCGATAAACGCGAGGGCGTGTGCAGTTGACCTTGGAGTGCCCGGAAGTCTGGCAGTTGTGGCAGAACGGTGGTACGAAAGTAAGTCCTCTGTTGTCGCGTTGATCTTGCTTGCCGCGTCGATTGTAGTTGTTGTCGTTCCTTTGTTGAGTGTAGAAGACTAACTGCTGCTGCTTCCTTGGTTGTCTTTCTTCGAACAGGTCCATCTCCTGTTGTTCAGCGTGAAGCTCGGCGCAGAGGTGCATCTCCGAAATCCTTCCGTGGGCGCGAAGAAGCGATCGTGTGGTTCTCCATTCTGGCCCGAGCCCCGCGAGGACAAGCGTCACGAAGCTCTCTTCAGTGATTGTTCCTCCGCACCAAGCAGGCGGTCGGGAGGGTCTGGCAGCAACTCATATACAGCATCGCCTTTTCTCCGGTCTTCATCTGTATTGTTGTCAATTGTTGCATGAGTCTGCTTTGTGTCACGCTGTCGTTTGCTTGATAGAGGCACTTGAGGTGATGCCATGCGAGTTCTGCGGAGTTGCCATAGCTCCTGTATGTTCTGATGCTCTGCTGTTCTTGTGGTGACAGATTTCTCAAGAGAACTGTATACGCCAGCAGCGACTGATACGTGAAGATTTCTTGCTCCTTTCCAGTGCCGTTGCTTGGGAATGGCAGGGACCCGTTGAAGTATCCCAGGAGATGCGCAGCCTCCATCAGCAGCTCGAACTCGAAACTCCAGGTAAAGAAATCGTGTCCGTTGAATGGTGAGGATGTCTGCAGTTTAATCACGTGTGAGAACTGCGCCTGGAGGCTTAAAATCTCGTTTGGTGTCTGTTGTGATGCAGCTGCTGTTGGTTGGGCACGGGGCGGCATGAACTCGAACGTCCCCGGTGAAGAGTGATAAGGCGCAAAGGTAGGCGCTTGATTGTGTCGCCCGAATGATGAATTGTCGAGGCTCATCGGTGCTAATCCCATGTTTCCTCCATTGCTCTGTGTTGAATGCGCAGGTGTCCTTGTCTGCTGCTGCTGGTCGAAGTGCGACATGAAGCTGAAGAACCTTTCCATAAGGTTGGGGTCCACGCTTGGAGAGGGTGATGGAGTTACCATCTCTGGTGCTCTTCCTGATGTTTCTTGAGCAGTCCCGGTCTCTGTCTGCAGTCCTGAGGCGTGAGTCCAGAGTTGCCGTGTTGAGTTTCTTGGCCGCTGGGTGAGCCCGTAGAGATTTTCTTGCCCTTGCTGTCCATGTCTTGTAATCAATGAAGTCGTTGAATTGAGTTGAGTTGCAGGTTGTTGATAGAGCGCAGTTGCTGGGAGTTTGGTCTCTGACCAGCTCTCATACCATGTTGGGCTGAGAAATGCCCTTAGGATCTTTTCAGAGACTAAGTCCCAGTTGAAGATTGAGACTTGAGTAGTGCAGCGGAAGTTGAGGCAGTTGAACCCTTGTACTAGTATATGAGAACAAGTGATAATTAAAGAAACAAGCATACAGCAATATATAGGAAATAAGAAAGCAGTTGTAGAATACAGTTGCAGGAGCGGTTATCGAGTCGCACAGGCGACTCAATTGCCGCTTCGGTTACCATCCGCGATGTTGTAACTGTCAGTCGCAACCTCCAGTTGCGACCTTTCGAGTTCCTTCGCGTTCTTTGTCTGCCCCCTCGTGTAACCTCCGTTGACTCGCGTACCCCCCCTGTAATCTTCCTCGAGTGTAGTGTTACACTTCAGAAACGCTTAAGTCCTTTGAGATATTTCCAACAGCGCAAGGTGCAACATGTACCCGTAAATGCCCAGATATATTTCCGGTTTTATGAAAAATCAGTTGGGCCTTTTTCGGGAAATCAACTTCGTAGACCTGCTCATTTTTAGTGTTGCCGGGGTTTCGGGCGTCCTACTTTTCAGATATCGGGATTTACCGATACCAATACTAAAACGGGCCTGATACGGGTATCCCAACATAAAACACCGATATCGACGCTGTACGTAAGTGCCGCGTGGAGTCGATGCAATGCCTGTTAAATTATATATTTTGTTAGGTTTATCGAACTGTACTGTAGAGGGTACAACTCCCTCCTTGTATGCCTCTCTCTCTTCCTAGTCTCCCCCTCTTTTCTCTCCTCGACTTTCCTAGCCCAAAACCCTCACGCCATTCCATGGCTTCCTACCATTCCTACTAGCCTAGCTTTCTTAACATGATTTCAGAGCAGGCCCCTTTCGCTCGGGCCTTCTCCTCACGCTTCCGCAGCATACTCCCCCCCCCGTTATGCCGCGCTGGCCCCGTCACTCCGTGCTGGCCCCGTCACGCCGCGCTGGCCCTGTCACGCCGCGCCGGCCCCGTCCCTCCGCGCTGGCCCCGTCACCCCGCGCTGGCCCCGTCACTCCGTGCTGGCCCTGTCACACCGCGCTGGCCCCGTCACGCCGAGCTGGCCCCGTCACGCCGTGCTGGCCCCGTTCCTCCGCGCCGGCCCCGTCACGTCGCCGTGCCTCAGTGCCTCAGTGCCGCCGTATCGCTGTCCCGCCATCCGCCGTGCCACGGTGCCGCCGCGCCGCCGTGCCGCTGGGTCGCCGTGCCGCCGTGCCGTCGTGCTGCCGTGGCGGCTTCGCCACGCCAGCGCACTGTCAGCTGCGGCCAGCGCCCTGTCCTAGGCGCCACCCATGGCGCGTCGCTGAAGATTCGCCCCCCCCCGCCCCCCCCTTCCCCTGCGTCTCCTCTTCCTCCTGCCGCAGCTGCTGTCTTCTACCCGGTCGTCGCCTCGCCGTGCCACACCGCCGAGAGCCTTCAGCCATGGCCGTTGCCTGCGCTGCCTCTCGCCGGGGGATGTCACCATGCCAAGCCCGAGGGGTAGATACCCGGCTGATCTCGAGCATGGGGGTGTAAGGGGTTAGGGGGTGGGCTTGTGACTACCAAGCCTAGGGGGTGTGTTAAATTATATATCTTGTTATATAATTGGTAGGCTTGGTAGGTTTATCGAACTCTACTGTAGAGGGTACAACTCCCTCCTTGTATGCCTCTCTCTTCCTAGTTTCCCCCTCTTTTCTCTCCTCAACTTTCCTAGCCCAAAACCCTCACGCCATTCCATGGCTTCCTACCGTTCCTACTAGCCTAGCTTTCTTAACAATGCCCCCCTCCCCCCCTTCTGTTAAATTATATATATATTATATATATAATTGTAGGCTTGGTAGTTGTGCTACTTACTAAATCCTACTGTAGAGGGGACTACCCCCTTTCTTGTATCTCCTTCTCTTTTAGTCCAACTTCTCTTCTCTCTCGTAACTCTCTCCTAGCCTAAAACCTCTCGCCATTTTCATGGCTCCTACTCCTACCTACAGTAGCTTCTTTTAACACCTCCCCCCCCCCCCCCTCTCCTCCCCGGATAGTCTGGGCGACCAGTACTCTTTGTACTAAAGCCCGAATAGAACCACGCGACGGGCATTCGAAAGAAAGGCAGCACAGCACGGGAGCGCGTCGAGACCATGCGAGATGACAACAGGGCTTGGGGCACATCTCTGCCTCCAGCTCAGCTGCAACCAAAGAAACCCAGCCGCATACCCGTCGTCCTCGCACGGACGAAGCGCACGACGATAGCGAACTTCCCAACATACCTGTTCACAAGGTGGATAATGACGTGTTGACAAACACCTCGTACGACGAGAGCGAAAGCAAAGATGACGAGGACGTTGAAGAGGTGCAGCCGCCTCCTAAAAAATCTGCGCGCAAGCTTGTCATCAAGAAGGCGAAGAATAGCAAGGCTACAGCTGCGGTAAAGGGGAAGCAAAAAGGTCAACGATGCCGACGAAGCCCACCCCAACCTCCCAAAGTGGACTCACAAAGAGTCCACCATCCTGGCCGCGGGGCGCTGGTTCACTCGTGAGGACCACAAGGCTTGCGTTGGCAAGCAGTCCTCCTAGTGCTGGAATCGCCTCGTCGAGCTCCTAAGCCGCGAGCACCCCAGCTTTACTCGTGGCCCTGCCGCTTGCAAGTGCGAGTGGCAGAGGCTTCAGAAGCAGTGGGCTGATCTCCAGAAAGGGAATTGTGCGAGTAGGGGAGCTACCGTCATGATGCCGCTCTAGTTTGGGTACACAGCCCTACAGCTGAAAGAATCCACGTGCGTCCACCCGCATCTCGTTGACGGTGGCGGTGCGGACGACTTAAAGCTCGTGTCTCGTATTTCCTAGAGTATTACGCTTAGTTGGAAAACGGCAAGCTTGATTGGTGGGCGAGGTTCGAAAAGCAAAGGTGGGTTTGACGAGGGTAGCGAGAAACAAACAATTTCGGGACCAATCGAAGAAGCCAGCACTCGGGAAAGCTCTGAGTCTTGTATTTCTGGCTGGCCGTTATACGTTTGCTTTGGGCGCTCGACTTTCAGGGGGTGTATAGTCTCGGGTTGGGGTGGGTTTCAGGTTGCAGTTTCGGTTCGCTTCTTCCTGAAGCGATATTCGCGAGGCACCCTCACAAATCTTCCCAATCTATCACCACCCCTCATTTCAAAGAAATCGAATGGTTTTACAACCCTAAGGTCCGCGCCTCCGGATTTGACTCGCTGGTTTGACAGGCCACCTCTCTCGCAAGCACTTTTGGCCCTCGCTTGCTGGGAAAGTCGAGTTACCGGAGTACCAAGCGTATTACCTTTGATCCCAAACCAGAATTATGAGACGCGGGCTTTGACGGTCAACCCAGGGACTCCTGTCGTCAGCACGCCTATCAACGCACCGCACGTGGGTGCTGGTGCGCAAGGTGAGTGATCGGTAAGGTCGTCTTAAAGCCCGCTGCCCAAATTGTTCATACGCAGTGCGTATGAACGTGAGCAGTGATTTTAGCAAAGCCAGTGAAAATATCGCAAATGCATGAAATTTTGCTGTCGAAACTAGAGAGGTGGTTGCTGGCAGCCAATCAGAAGCATTTATTTTGCCTGATGAATCAATCGTGTTATGTTTGCTGAAACAGGTTTGGTAAATTCCTTGAATTTTGGGCCATCCGATTAACGTAAGAGCGATCCGACGGCCCAAACTCAAACACTTGTTTGTTTTGAAATCGATGACCTTCAATCAGAACGGAGCTGTATATCCGAGCTCCACCAATCTCGGCTGTCAAAATAAGAGAAGTTATGTGTGTTTGCCGAGTCCCAAAACGCAGGAAGTTTCAACTTTAGTGTTTGTCGAGGGACTTGCACAGGTCGCAAACAACACACTTCACTTCTAGTAACCCCTCCCACTTCCCCTTTCAAAAGCAGTGCGTTTGACACCCTGGGCTTGCACTTTGGACTGCCGGCTTTAAATAAGATGCACTGTCACAGGATCGAATGTGTCGAGGAAAGATTGCACTATCGATCAGTACAAGGCGCTTTTATACTTCCAGAGTACATCAGGTAACCAGGTTTATCTTATCCTAGGGGAATAGACCCTTCTAGAAGATAGAATCACCCTGCGTATAGCCACGCGAGGCTATTGGCTTTAAGGGATTGCAGCAGGATTACGCTAGATAGAGCGCACCAATACATCCCAAGCCTGGTCGGTGATACAATTATAATAGCAGGATAAACCAAAGGTTAATGGAAAAGGAAGAATAGGAAACCAAATGAGATGGAATAAAAGAGAAATGAAAAAGGAAGGAAATAAGTAAAGGCCAAGTGGTGTAACGGGGTCGTTCTCTCACACTTCCCCCCCTCAAAGCTGGGTGGTAGAAGTAACACCCTGCTTGACAAGGTAGTCATGCAGAGGACGACGGGCGTTACCCATGTCGGACTCAGGTACCCAGCTGTCCTCAGAAGGATCATAACCCTTCCAACGGATGAGAAGCTCCACGGTGCCATTCCGACGACGGCGGTGTGCGAGCACGGACTCGACCTCGTACTCGGGTTCATTCTGGACGAGGACGGGCGGTGGCGGCGGCGGTTGGCGTCCGACGAAAATCGTGTTCGGGTCCCGATAGGGCTTCAGAAGTTGGACGTGGAAGGCGTTGTGAATCTTCCAGGTAGCTGGCAGGTGTAAGCGGAAGGTAACAGGAGTGACCTGTGCTTCAACGAGAAAAGGCCCGCAGAAGCGAGGTCGAAGTTTAGATGGGAGGTGGCTGCTGTCCAGGTTGCGGGTGTCAAGAAGCACTTGGTCTCCCACCGTGATGGTGTGGTCGTTGCGACGGCGATCGGCCTGGCGCTTCTGTTGCTGTTGAATGTCGAGTAGGCGCTTGTGGGTCCGATCCCAAAGCTGATGCATGGTTGTGATGAAATCATGTGCGGGTTGGACTGTAGCTAATGCTGTCGGTTTTTGTGGTGTGAGTGGATGGCGTCCGTAGCAGAGGAAGAACGGCGTCTGTCCAGTCGCGGCATGTGTAGCATTGTTGTAAGCAAACTCTAGTATGGGCAGGTGCAAGTCCCATTTGGAGATGTCGTCCTTGCAGGCTGCTCGGAGGAGTTGCTCAACAATTTGGTTGAGGCGCTCGGTCTGTCCGTCTGTCTGCGGATGGTAAGCAGATGACATGGCGAGTTTGGTCCCGA